TGTATAAAAACTGGACAGAGACCAAAACCTGATAAATTTTTAAATACTTAAAGAACTAAAATAGATAAGTGTATAGTTAAGGGACTAAAACTGGTAAATGTATAGTTAATGGATCATCACTAATAAATTTTTAAATAGTTGAAGGACTAAAACTGGTAAATGTATAGTTAAAGGACCATTTTAGACATACTCCTATAGTTAAGGGATTGTTTATAATATTTTCTCGATATAAATATATGTTAAAGTAAACCCTAATAGAATATTATATGTGCTTGCGCCGTAGAACTTGAGTTCAAACCACTCTTTGCATTGATCTAGCTTCGACAATGAGGTCAAAGGCAAAACAACAAAAGAAAATCAAGGGGGAGTGTAGCAATGAGGATACATGTGTTTTTTCGTATGATATCATTGTCAACATTCTTATTAAGTTATATGCTGTATCATTATTACGTTTTAAATGTGTTTCAAAATCATGGAACAATATGATATCCGAGGATGTTACATTCACAAAAGCTCACTGTGAGCAATCTAAGATCATAAGACGTGAAAAACTTTTATTACAAAGAAAATCGGGAGGGTTTGACTTCATACATTTAAACAATTTTAATGAAGTTGTCATAGATAAGCAACAATTTCCTCTCAAAGGATTCCTAGGTGCTCATGTCTTATGCTCATATGATGGCTTGGTACTATTGAAGAAATCTAAGGCTTACAAGCAATTTGTGTTATGGAATCCGTTATTTGGACAACATCAAATTTTTGAGTGTCCATATATGAAATCTCATGAACACACATTTTCTAGTGCTTATGGGTTATGTTATGATTCTATCACCGATGATTACAAATTTGTATTGATCCATAACCTATTTTATGTTGTATACTCTATGAGTAAAAATATTTGGACGAAGAAAATATCTCTCCCTACATTACAACAATGTACGACTGAATTTATTTTTTCAATTTCACACTCATATGTGTGGAGTAAGGAAATTAGCACTAAAAATCATGTATATTGGTCTCTGAATGAGAAATTTCTCTGTCATAAATATAAAACTTCTACATTCATATACTTTGATGCGGAATTGGATGAATTGAAGGAGCTCCCAATACCAATTGCTGCCAGTGAACATCAATGCTTATTTCAATTGTCTACTTGGAAAGGTTGTCTAAGTGCATATGGATGCAACAATTCTTATTCTGGATTTCACATTTGGATCAGGCAACCCGATGATTGGAAATGGTTAATGTCCATTCCCAATATACCAGCTTTAAATTATGGGTGTTACTTTTATAATTATAAGATTTTGTGTTGCACAGAGAATGATGAACTTATCTTTCAAGGACCACAATGTCACAATCTTTCTATCTATTGTCTTAAACAACAACGATTTATTAGGAGAGTTAATATACCAAATCATCTTGAGTATTTACTTGGTCATGCAATGTCAATATGTTTGGATAGCTTATATTTTCCCAAATTCAATGTTACGCGCAAGAGGAAGCAACTCAGTACTCCATCAAAGTGAAGCCGGGATTTGAAAAGACAGTTGAGATATCAACAGAGCAATGTCAAATTTGTTAGATCAACTATATGCATTAATGTGTAATCTTGAGTTTTTTTTAAAGTTTTGTACTCAATCTTCTTGGTATTCTTATGATTTCGTGTTTATCTTCTAATGTTTTGTTTTTTATATCCAAGGAAATTGATTCTTGTTGTCGTAATTTTTGAACACTTATTTCATCTTGAGATTTTATGAAAAAATATATTAACTAAAACATCAATAGTTGATGGAGCCGAATCAATTTTTACAGACAAATAAGAGAGATAATATCTTCAAATGTCTTATTTGAAATTCTTGTTCGATGCATTAATTGTGTTAGAAATTAGAATTTGGAGCTATCTACTTTGTACTATATCAATCAGAGTTTTTATTCATGCTTTTTAAGTCGATATCTAAACAAAAAGGTCTTATTTGATCTCTCTATAGCCTACAAAATTATATTCTTCTAGAAGTCTTACAAGTTACAATTTTGTTGCAAGGGGGTCTTTTGCATTTCCAATTGATAGGTTTATCAATCGTAATATTGATTGAGTTAGCTGGGGAAAAAAAATAAAAAAGGAGTTCATATAAATATTGCCTAGCTAAGAGATCATATCAAAAGAGATCAGCGAAACCATCAACATAAAAACATAAATAATTGATATAAAAGAGGTAGTATATTGTCATATTATAAGAGGTCTAAATTGAATGATGATTGAAACTGACTCGTTGGTAATGAAGAGAATTATAAAGAAAGTTGAAAAACATATGGAAGATTGAAACAATTGCAGAGGACAATGTTGATATAATATAACATTGTCATCTTACAGTTGATATAATATACAAAGAGGAACACATTAAATTACTATGTTGGATCTTTTTTTTTTTTTTAGCATTAATAGAATGATAAATTATGCAAAATATTAGCCTACAAGATTATTACCATTTTTTAGATCAATTTATTTAAATTACTTAAAATGGTCATTGACCTTATTTCCCCCCCCCCCCCCCCCCCCAAATTTGCTACACGTCGTCGTCGTCTTCTTCTTCTCCTTCTCCTTCTTCTTCTTCTTCTTCTTCTCCGTCTTCTTATTCTTATTCTCCTTCTCCTCTTCCTCCTCCTTCTCCCTCTCCTCCTCATCCTCCGCCTCATCCTCCTCTTTCTTCTCCTCCCCCTTCTCATCCTCCTCATTCTTCTCCTCCCCGTCCTTCTCTTTCTCCTTTGGCTTCTCCTTCCTCCTTCTCCTCCTCCTTCTCCTTCTTCTTCTCCTTCTCCTTCTCCTTCTTTTCTCTTTCTCCTTCTCCTTCTCCCTCTTTAAAATTTGACGTACTGCAAATGTGAATCATTTTGAATAAATTATATATCAAAAGACTTAAAACATCGAGATGATTTCATATATAAATTTTGATATTGTTTAGAGGATATTTTGAGTTGGTCAGAATTGAATAGTCAGTGTATACTTCATGTATAGTTAATGTATATTTCATGTGTAGTTAAACTATATCAAGTTTTTTTGAGTGTATCATAATATATAATCAATGTATAACTCATGTATATGTAAGTTATATTCAGTTTTTTAAGTGTATCATAGTGTATAATTAATGCATATTTTCTATGACATTTTACTATTTTTATGTAAATAAAACATGACTATATTTATTGTAAATTAATTATTTTATTGTATATATTTGAAACTATCCCTTAATAAAATGGGTCATCGGCCCAACTCCAATTAAAAAGAGGAAAAACCACCTAATTAGACAAAAATGCATACTATATCTACTAATCTAACATACACTTTCATATAATTACCTATTACTCCCTTCGTCTCAATTTATGTGACACTTTTCGGATTTGGAGATTCAAACAAGTCTATTTTAACCGTAAATTTTTCATACATCTTTTAAATATTTTGAATTGTCAATTATTGTGATTTATAATACTTTTTACGTAGTTTATAAATATATAAGTTTCATTTCAAATAATTTGAAAATTCCATGCGTAAATTGCTAGTCAAACTTAAACTACTTGACTCTCTAAAAACGAAAAGTGTCACATAATTTGAAACAGAAGGAGTACTATTTAATAATTTTGTATCATATTTAGTGTGAGATAAATCACTCCTTAAAATAAGCTTAAAATAGAACTCTAAATTATCTATCCACTTAATTCTCTCCTTAATTTATACCTTCACTCCAAATCAGTCTACTATCTATCCTAAAATTTTCTTCCTAGATTTTCCCAATGGCTATAGCTTCTATTTTATCTACGGAAATATTTAAATCAATTTATTAATACTTAGAGAAATTTAAATCTATTTATTTTCTCATTCAAGCATTGTTCCTTCTTCGTGTTCATCTACTTTGAGGTGAAATTTATCAAATACATAGAATAAACTATATTAGATACATAAAAAACAATCCAAATACATCTAATCATTAAATACGTATCAAATACATAAAAGAAACTATATCAAATAACTATTCAGATACATAAAATAAACAGAATATATACAACTAATCATTAAGTACATACCATATACATACAAGAACAATTCAAATATATAGAATGAACAGATTAAATACATCTTACCATTGAGTGTATATATATATATATATATTTATTAGATACATAGAAAAACTATATAAGATACATAAAAGAACAGTTCAAAGATACCCAAAAATTCACATTCCAGAAGAAAAAGTATAAAATTCACCGATGCTCGAAAAAATAGGAAGAACTGTGATTTATTGATTTTTTTTAGGAGTTGTGCTACATCAAATACTCCAAAATTGTTATACGCGTGATTTCCTCCTTCATTTATGTCCTTCAGTTACATTACTTATTTATGTATTACTTAATTGTATGTATATCGTTAACATGTATTCGAGACACACCAAATACATGTATATGAGGCGTAAATTATGGTAGAATTAATAATATTCCAAACTCCCAGAAAAAAATAACTCGCTCCTAAACTAATAAAATTTGTGTTGTTTGCCCTTAATAAAATGGGCCACCAACCCAATTTCAATTAAAAAATAAATCGAAACATGTAAACATTGTCCAATAAATTAAATCAAATCATTTATTAATTAAAAACACAGAGAACTTGCTTTTCTTAGAGAAGATTTTAAGTTGCATATGCTAATCATTATAAATATCCGACATGATAACGAGTGATCTAAATACCTTATGGTAAACCGTAATAGAGATCACATTTTTTCAATCTATTATCCTAAGCAACAACAATTTGTTAGGACAACTTATATATCAAATCATCTGAAGTATGGCAGACCCAAACACAAGGATTTTCCGAGGCCAAAACGATAACATGACAAATATCCAGTAATAATATTGTTGTAGTCGTCTCTCATAATTTTCACTCACTTCATTAGCGGTTAAACCACATCTTTGTCAGGACACTCATACTTAGGTATCAAAGTGTTGCTCATAGCTAAATCAAAATAAGGCATAAATAAACCCTTAGTTTCACAGGTGATGATGAGATATACAGGTGGAGAAGCTAAAACTAACCCAAAATTGCTGCAGCCACTGAAAGTTGAATTACTCATCCTTTGAAAATTTTCAAAAACTAATACAATTTTTATACACCAACTTTGAACTCTTCCAGAACAGACTGATGAGTTCATCTAAGCGCGGTTGAAGGTTCTGGGGAGAAATTGGTTGTGCCAAAATTACGATGCTTACCATCAGCAACGTTTGTTAGCTGAAAACCATAATTAGGAAGTTGATTTATAAGAAGAGTTTCCAATTGGCAGGCGATGCTCTTGCCAGAGACTAGGAAATATAGGAATGATGCGTTTTCCATTCCCTCCTTCAAGCGATGGGCACGGACTCTGCCCTCAAGATCATCAGTCTGTACATATAATAAGAAAGAAGAACGTTAAGATATAATATGTCAAAGGAAGTAACAGCTCAAACTAACCGAAATGAAGACTGGTGTTTGCACTGATGTGCCCATAGACTTCATTTGTATAACAAACAATAATGTCTGTCTATTGGCCATTTATCCCAAAATAACTTTGAACATAATTACCTCCACTACTTTAAAAAAAACATTTCGGAAAAAGAAACTGAAAATAGAACACTTAATTCAGTTATTCTCCAGACGCTCAAGTAGCAAAACAATTTTTTACAAAGGCTCAATTCTGCATGGCATGCAAAATGTGCAGGCGTTCTCCAACTCGTTAAGCATCTCAATACAATTAAATCACATAAAAAAATTGATTAGACAAAGTATGCACTTTAAGACTCAAACTGGAAAAAGGAAAAGATGTACCTGTCCAACATACAACTTTTTGTCAGGTCTTAGCATTATATAGACACTTGAAGCACCAATTGTTGATGGAGCCGGCTGTTCCCTGGCAGCAATAAGAACACAATTCACCATTGCCATTTCTGACGGATTTTTCATTTTATACAGCTCAATTAACTTCTTCTCACAGATAAGACAGATAGCATCTTCAAGTTTCTTGCTTGAAATTCCCATTCGATGCATTAACTTTGTGCTAGAATCCAAAGCTATTTGTCTTGTACCATTTAATTGGTCAGATCTTTTATCTGTGCTATTGAGGTCAATATCTGAACAAAGAGGTCTTATTTGGTCTTTCTTCCTTGGTATCTGATTCCCGTAAGCTGAATTATACAATTCTTCTGCTCTTTGGATTAATATTTCTGGAATTCCTTCTCTCTGAGCTGTTTCAAATGCTAGACTCTCTTTACAGACCCCATCAATGAGTTTCCAAGTTGGTATTGGTTGACCATCAACATACTCAGCTCCCATTGCTTTATACACGGTCTTCTTGATTTTCAGGGGTAAATCAAAAATTCCATGCAAGTGGGTTGATACAATTCCCAAACAGCCAATTGCGTCCAGGGTTTCTATGACACTTCCAGCAATACATGTCCCTTTTGCTGTTTCTGTTCCTCGACATATTTCATCTATAAGTACAAGACTGCTTGAAGTGGCACCAGTAATCAGAGACCGAATTTCAGACATTTCAATCTGAGGCATGTTAGACAATTAAGAGTCATAATGTTGCCTTCAAAATGCCATGAGACTCTACTATGTCAGCAAGGAAAAGTGAAAAATGATGAATAGAAACACCAACACCTAGAGTCAAGATTATTATACACAAACTAATGAAATAGCTTCACTCTCAGAAAAAACATATGATAGAAGTAGAACTTACATTATTAGCACCTACAGATTAATCCAAGAGAACGATGCAAAGGAAGAAGACTCCAAAATAAGAACCAATAAGATAACCAGAAGAGAGATTGGCTTTTTACCATAATAACCACAGTAGAACTGCTATGTACTAAAGATTCTTTTGTCAAGACAGGCACAACGTTCTTGTTAAACATCCACTATACTCGATCACTTTTTGGGATGGAGAGGATAAGAAGATCAGTTGTGCCAAATGTCTAATGAAAACCACTCATGGAATTGTGTATCCCTCCTGACTATGGATTGCAATCAAATACAAGTAGTCTTAGAAGCAAAAATCATCTACAACAAGCAAATGCAAGAAAAAAGTAAAATGCTTATCTGCAACAATCGCAGCAAGCATCATGATACAGCATCCATGTCTTGTTTTATTTGCAGATTAATTACTAGGTTTCTAGCAAACAGGACAAGAAGAAAACCATATATGCTACAAATCAAGAATATAAAACATATTACCTGAAATGAACTTTTTCCATCAGCAGGACTATCATATGATTTCATATGCAGCATAATTGAGTCAAAATGAGGAATGACAGCCGATTCAGCTGGAACCATGAACCCACACATTCCTAGCAATGCAGCTGCACACAACGATCGCAGCAAGCTTGATTTACCCCCACCATTTGGACCTGTTAAAAGAAACATGGACTGCATATCTACTGTATTCTGTACACCAGTCCCCCGTGCTGCATCAAACCAATAAGGAGATAGACCAATTATCTTCATTCCCTCAGTTCCCTCAAGTGCCTCTGTGTCCTGCATTTTAATGACATGTAATTGGATCACATGAATAACAGATAAAAATATGAAGACTTTCCCCATTAAATGAGATCAGGATAAGGTTTGTAATCCATGTCATATTTTTCTCCATATGAAACCAGCCAAGGATTAGATGGGAGGGCCTGACGGAGGCCAAAGCTCAGAAGATTGGAGAGAAGTTGGTGGCTAAGGGGAGTAGTGGTTACACAGATAATATTTTTTTTGAGAAAGATAATGTTCTATTCCTCAGCATTAAGGATATGCTGGAGACCTCCAAAAATTGGTTTCCAATAAGAGAAAAAACAAAAAGGCTAATAGATTACAAAGTGCCTATAAAATCCAAAATTTGAGCAGCTTCTTCTATCCCTTCCTCTTTACACCAAAAATAAAAAGTAGTCAAGCAGTTTCATTTGACTTTCTCTATTGAATTAGCCTTGTTATCATAGCATCTGCTATTTCTTTCTTTCCAACTAGACCACCAAATGCATGATGGTATTACTCCACTTTTTCTAAGATTTTCTCCACCCTCTGCTCATCCAACAACTAAGTAGATCTATTGTATGCTCAGGCATAATCAATTCAGTATGTGTTAGTCCCCAAAAAGGGTTCCACAATTGTGTTCTCACTCTGCAATGGAGGAACAAGTGGTTGTTGGTTTCCTCAGTCTCATTACATAGAAAGCACCAAGAGGCAATATAGAAACCCCTCCTTTTCAATTTCTCATGTGTGGAGCATGCTCTTCTGGCAACCAACCAAGAGAAACACTTTATCTTGATTGGCACCTTGTTCCTCCAAAATCTGTTTCCAGGGGCCAAGCTTACCACCTGTATGCTCCTTCACCTCCTTAATATATAGCTTGTTAACAGAAAGGCTTCCATCTCTAGTGTGTTTCCATATAATAGAATCTTTTTCTGCCGATAACCCATTGAACCCATTCAGAACATGTAATGGCTCAGTCACTCTCCCAATCTCCCCGTCATTAAATGCCTTCTAAACACAATATTCCATCCATGTTCTCCAAGCTGACACCCCATAAGGGTTATTCACAGAGTTGGAGATCCAATTTCCATTCAACCCCTACTTGTTGACTATCACTTCCCTCCACAGTGCTTGTTCCTCAGTGTTGAACCTCCATAGCCATTTTGACAAGAGGCATCTATTCTGCAACCCCAAGTTTCTGATTCCAAGTCCATCAGATTGTTTATGTAACTGTGCAGTTTGCCATTTGACTAAATGCAAACCCTTCCCTTCTTTATTCCCTTTCCAAAAGAAATCTCTTCTTAGTTTGTCAAGTCTTTCTTCCACTTTGGCAGGCATAGGGAATAAAGGCATAACGTAAGTTGGAACAGATTCCATCTATTCTGCAACCCCAAGTTTCTGATTCCAAGTCCATCAGATTGTTTATGTAACTGTGCAGTCTGCCATTTGACTAAATGCAAACCCTCCCCTTCTTTATTCCCTTTCCAAAAGAAATCTCTTCTTAGTTTGTCAAGTCTTTCTTCCACTTTGGCAGGCATAGGGAATAAAGGCATAACGTAAGTTGGAACACAGAGTTTATTAAAGTGACTCTCCCGCCCAAAGAGATATACTAAGCTTTCCAATTGGACAATTTCTTCACTGTCTTTTCAATTATGCCACCCCAAATTTCTAGCTCCTTATGTTTGTGCCCCAATGGCATGCCCAAGTAAGTAGTGGGAAGTTGTTCTACTTTACACCTCAATATCCTTGCCAGGCTCTGAAGTTGAGGGACTTCTTTAATTGGAAAGATGATGTTTTTCCTCCAATTAATTGATAAACCAGAGACTGCTTCAAAAACCACCAAAGTCATTCTTTTAAAGGCAACCTGTTCAGCCTTGCTTTCACATAAAATAATTGTGTCATCTGCATAAAGCAGATGACAAACTACATTTCCCAACCTGAAGAGTTGTTGACCTTGAAACTTTTTAACCAATTGTTTTGGACAGCTACTCTCATCATATACTATTATAGCCCTCCATGGCTAGGATGAAAAGGAAAGGAGAGAGTGGGTCTCCCTGCCTTAGACCCCTTTCTGATGGGAAAAAACTTCTCCATTCACTAAAATGGAGAATCTAACAATTTTTATGCAATAGTCGATCCACTTCAGCTATTTCTCCCCGAAACCCATCTGTTTTCGAATCTTGATCACGAAGCCCAAATTGACATGATCATAAGCCTTCTTTATGTCCAGCTTGCACATATTTCTTGGATCATCTCCTTTGACTCTGGTGTCCACACACTCACTTGCTATAAGTGTTGCATCAATAATTTGCCTACCTTTTATGAAGGCCATTTGGTGTTTATTCACAAGCTTACTGATCACTCTCCTTAACCTTTCTGCTAGTATCTTTTTTTTTTGATAAAGATAATGTTGTATTCATTAGCATTAAGGATATGCTGGAGACCTCCAAAAATTGGTTTCCAACAAGAGAAAAAACAAAAAGGCTAATAGATTACAAAGTGCCTATAAAATCCAAAATTTGTGCAGCTTCTTCTATCCCTTCCTCTTTACACCAAAAATAAAAAGTAGTCAAGCAGTTCCATTTGACTTTCTCTATTGAATTAGCTTTGTTATCATAGCATCTGCTATTTCTTTCTTTCCAAATACACCACCAAATGCATGATGGTATATACTCCACCACTTTTTCTTAGATCTTCTCCCCCCTCTGCTGATCCAGCAACTAAGTAGATCTGTTGTATGCTCAGGCATAATCCATTCTGTATGTGTTGGTCCCAAAAAAAGGTTCCACAATTGTGTTGTCACTTTGCAATGGAGGAACAAATGGTTGTTGGTTTCCTCAGTCCCATTACATAGAGAGCACCAAGAGGCAATATAGAAACCCCTCCTTTTCAATTTCTCATGAGTGGAGCATGCTCTTCTGGCAACCAACCAGGAGAAACACTTTACCTTGGTTGGCACCTTGTTCCTCCAAATCTGCTTCCAGGGGCCAAGCTTACCACCTGGATGCTCCTTCCCCTCCTTAATATATAGCTTGTTAACATAAAGGCTTCTATCTCTAGAGTGTTTCCATATGATAGAATCTTTTTCTACTAATAACCCATTGAAACCATTGAGAACATGTGATAGCACAGCCACTCTCCCAATCTCCCCGTCATTTAAATGCCTTCTAAACACAACATTCCATTCATGAATAGACCATACCTCAGCCACTGTTTCTTTCGGATAGGCACAAAAGGAGAATAGGTCACGAAATAAGACCATTAGTGCCTCATTTCCATTCCAATTCTCTTTCCGGAATAGGATTTTCATCCCATTTCCCACCTTGTAGACTGTTTCAACTTAGATCAGGCCACAAATTTCTTATTGTTCTCCAAGCTGACACCCCATAAGTGCTATTCACAGAGTTGGAGACCCAATTTCCATTCAACCCGTACTTGTTGACTATCACCTCCCTCCACAGTGCTTCTTCCTCGGTGTTGAACCTCCATAGCCATTTTGACAGGAGACATCTATTCTGCGACCCCGAGTTTCTGATTCCAAGTCCACCAGATTGTTTATGTAACTGTGCAGTCTGACAATTTGACTAAATGCAAACCCTTCCCTTCTTTATTCCCTTTCCACAAGAAATCTCTTCTCAGTTTGTCAAGTCTTTCTTCCACTTTGGCAGGCATAGGGAATAAAGACATAACATAAGTTGGAAGAGTGTCCAACACAGAGTTTATTAAAGTGACTCTCCCTCCCAAAGAGATATACTGAGCTTTCCAATTGGCCAATTTCTTCTCTACCTTTCCAATTATGCCATCCCAAATAGCTCCTTATGATTGTGCCCCAATGGCATGCCCAAGTAAGTAGTGGGAAGATGTTCTACTTTACACCCCAATATCCTTGCTAGGCTCTGAAGTTGAGGGACTTCTTTAATCGTAAAGATGCTGATTTTCCTCCAATTTACTGATAAACCTGAGACTGTTTCAAAAACCACCAAAGTCATTCTTATAAAGGCAACCTGTTCAGCCTTGGCTTCACAGAAAATAATTGTGTCATCAGCATAAAGCAGATGACAAATCTGCATTTCCCTTCCTGAAGAGTTGCGGACCTTGAAGCCTTTTAACGAATTGTTTTGGGTAGCTACTCTCATCATACTATTATATCCCTCCATGGCTAAGATGAAAAGAAAAGGAGAGAGTGGGTCTCCCTGCCTTAGACCCCTTTCTGATGGGAAAAAATCAACAGGTTCTCCATTCACTAAAATGGAGAACCTAACAGTTTTTATGCAATAATCGATCCACTTGCTTATAGGTCTGAAATCTCTCAGTTCCATAACTCCAACCTTCTTGGGGATCAATGCCACATAGGTTGCATTTAGGCTCTTCTCAAACACTTGGTGGTCATGGAATTGCCTCAAGGTGCTCAATATGTCTTCCTTAAGCATTTCCCCGAAGTTTTGATAAAAACTCATTGGGAAGCCATTCGGGCATGGGGCCTTGTCACTGGAACACAACTTGAGTGTCTCAAAGACTTCATCTTCCTTAAATTGTCTTTGTAGCCACCCTTTTTCCTCAACACTAATGCTTTAACTCCCTTGGAGATTAAAATGTGGCCTCCATTGTTTTGATTCCTTGTAAAATTTCTGATAAAAGCTTACAACTTGTTGCTTGATCACCTCTGGTTCGAAAACAGTCACACCTTCCACTTCTAACTTCTCGATTGTATTGAATCTTCTGTGTGATGTAGCCATTCTGTGGAAGTATTTGGTATTTTTATCTCCTTGTTTGAGCCATTGTACCCTAAACCTTTGTCTCCACGCTATTTCCTCATTCTGGGAAATTTCTACAAACTCATTGAATAACTGAGCTTTGTGTAAACTCTCCTCCTCATTAAGTGTTCTCAGCTCCTGGATTGTTTCAAGGCTAGCAATCTGGTTTAGCACATCCTCCTTTCTATGTTTCCAGTTGCCTCTATTTTCCGGCTCCCATTCCTTTAATTTCCCTTTAAGTAGTTTTAGTTTTGTTTTCAGCCTATAGGAAGTTGTTCCATTTACAGTGAAAGATGCCCACCATTCTTTTACTTTTTCTCTAAACCCTTCCACCTTCATCCACCATTGCTCAAACTTAAAATAAGTCTTCTTGAGATTTAGTTTTCCATAATTTAGAGCTATTGGACTATGATCAGAGCCTACTCTCGGGAGCACACTTTGTCTAATTTACGGGGACAATTCTTCCCAATGATTAGAGTACAGGAATCTGTCAATTCTGGAGGTTGTTGTGTGGTTCTCACCCCTTCTCCAAGTATAAGATCCTCCAAATGGCTGATCCAGTCAATGAACTCCGTCATTTCTCCAGACAGGTAATGGCTGCCAGTTCTTTTGTTTGAAAATCTTGTAACATTGAAGTTGCCACACACCACCCATGGTCCATCAAAGGAGTATCTAATTCATGTCACCCCCCCCCCCCCACAGTTGCCTTCTTATTATTGGTTGCAGTCAGCATAAACTGTACTTAAAAACCAAGTGAGATTATGTACTACACCTTCTAGTTTACATGTAAGCATCTGACCAGCAATCCCTATTAGCTCGCCCTTCCAATACTTTTTGTCCCACATCACTACAATCCCTCCACTTCTACCCACTGCATCTAAGTGGAACTCGCCCATCCAACTATTATACCACACCTCTTTGAATAAAGCATTGCCAACTCCCCTCAGCTGTCTCTACAAAGACATAGACGTCAGCCCCCTATTGATTAGTTAAACTCCTAATAAAACTCCTTTTCCTCCCCCCATTTAGCCCCCTTACATTCCAAGAAATAATATTGATTTTCATTTAAGTCTAAGAGGTGTTGTTCTCCCTCTGCCTCTAGGTTCCCCCCCGTCTTTTAAAGTTCATGTGAAATTCTAAGTTTCTTAGCTCCTTGGGGACACTATGCTGGTTGTTTTCCCTCTTGGTAGCCTCTTTTTTTTTTTTATCCAAGTAGCCTCTCTTTTGGTCTATCTTCATGAGTAATTCAAAGGCTATTTTATCACATCCCTCGAAAGCTGCTCCAAACCTCCTGCTGAATTCAAGAACGTTAGACTGCACCCATATTGTGGCTCTATCTTTCATTTCCTTTTCTGAGAGAGGTTCTTCCATATGTAAAGGCATAGGCTCTTCAAAAATTATCATGTGTCCCTTGGACTTTTCTCCCCCTGATCACCTTCATCATTTTTATTCGAACCATAATCCTTCTTCTTAGAAGAATTTGAGCAGACTTTGTCTCTTACCTCAGTGTGTTGCATGTTGTGGGCTACAACAATTAACTGCATAACGGAAGAAACTAGAGAGGGTTTAGGGGTATCGCAGGTGGGCACAATGGGGGTCCAATGAAAAGTGTTAGCCAAGAAGGCTACCACTTTGTAAAACTTACCCTTAAGCCTTGATGACACAATCTTATCGCACATTCTCCTCCATTTTGCCCACCTCACTCCAATACTACGTTTGACATCATCATTAATCTCCCCATTTTCATGGATTATGGACCCAAGGTACTTGAAGCTTCCTCTTTTGAGTATGACGTGTGCATCAATCTACACTTCCACCACCGACTCATGCGTTACGTCACTGAACTTGCACTCGAGGTTCTTTGTTTGTCTTGCTTAATTTGAAATCTTTAGGTTCTAGGATCTATCTCCAAACTTCCAGGCAATCATTAACTCAACCGCGAGTCTCATCTATCAGTACTATGTCATTTTTCAAATAACACACACCACAACATCTCCTTTTGAATCTCCGTGTCAATTCTTCCATCACTAAGGAAAATAGGGATGGGCTAAGGGTTGGCCTTTGGTACAACCTCATCATGACAGAAAAGTGTCTGGAGTCCCCTCCCACTGTTCTAATCCGAGTCTTAGCTCCATCGTACATGTCCTTAATGACCCAAATGTAGCCTATGGGTACCTTAACCCTCTAAGCATTTAGAAGACCTCCATAGGGACATTGTACACCTTTTCTAGGTTGATAAACACTATGTATAAGTCTCGCTTCTTGTCTATATACTACTCCAACAATATCCTTCCAAGACGGATGCCTTCTTTAGTCGACCGTCCTAACATAGATTCGATTTGGTTTTCAGATATAAATACATGTCTACTCATCCTTATTTTCGACCACCCTTCCCCAAACTGTCATAGTATGACGTGGTAGCTTGATACCCTAATATTTGTTGCAATGTTGAATACCACCTTTGTTCTTGTACAATCACACCATTGTACTCAATCTCCATTCTTCTGGCATTTCAACTGTTCGGGAAATGACATTAAGCAACTCAGTCATCCACTCTATACTTGTCTACCCGTGTTCTTCCAAAACTCTATTGGTATCTCAACTGGCCTAGTTGCTCTTCCCCTTCTCATCTTACGAATAGCCCTCTTAACCTCTTCAACCTGTATACACCTACAATACCCAAAATCTCCACGACTCACGGAGTGCTCTAACTCCTCCAACATGATATCCATGTCCACTACTTCATTCAAGAGCTAGTGGAAATATGTATGCCATCTCTGTCTAATGTGCCTCTTCTTGCGGCACTTAACCATCTTTGTCTTTGATGCACTTCACTTAGTCGTGGTCACAAACCCTTTTCTCTCTCATCTTGGCAAGCCTATACAACTTTCCATCCCCACCCTTGCCCTCGAGCTCTTAATACAAGTGCTCAAAAGCTTCTGATTTAGCCATCATGACCGCTAGCTTTGTTTCCTTCTTTGTTGTCTTATACCTCTCTCTTTCCTCTTATTCTCCTCGTCTAAGCTTTCCACTAACACCTGTGTGGACAAATTAGGAGAGACATGATAAGAAATGAAGTTAATATGGGGCAAGTTGGGAGTGGACTCCACAACAGACAAACTAAGGTAAGAGAAGTTGAGATGGTTAGAGCATGTGAAGAGAAGGTGTGCGGATGCGCCAATTAGGAGGTGTGAAAGGTTGGTTGTAATAGAAGTTGAGAGAAATAGGTGATTAGACGAGATATGACAACTTCAACTTACTAAGGATATGACCATACATAGGAAGGTGTGAACGTCAAGGATTAGCATAGAAAGTTAGTAGGTAGCAACTGTTGCTTGTTAGGTGGGAGAGACGGGGGGCTAGCCTCGTCTTCTCTTCTTTAATAGTAGTAGTATCTAGTAATCATGTAATTTCTTGTTCTTCAATGTGTTTTTTGTTATTTGTTGCTCCATTTTGCTTCGTATCTTCATGTTTTATTGTCACTTTTTCCTTCTTGCAACCCTTCTCCGAATAACCTCTCTTTTAAAGTCGAGGGTCTATCCAAAACAACTTCTCTACCCCATAAAGATAGGGTAAGGTCTGCATACATCTTACCCTCCCAAGACCCCACTTTTAGGATTAATAGGAAAATATAACAGACACTAGTGCACCAGTCGCCACAACCAAATTCTGAAAATGTATTTGTGAAGTTTTTAAAGTCATCTGGTGGAGATGTGTGACGTGTTAAGTCTATACCAAGTTGTGGAGGTATTAATATTTAGAAAATGTCAAAGAAGCAAATATCCTGAAGATTACCTGACATTTGTTAAATTGTGTGATTGTTGGGAAAATCCAATTTCTTCTTCTCCCTTCACTGAAAAGAAACCAAGATTAAGATTATGAGCTCAAATCACGGGAAAGGTAAACAAGTGAGTGAAAAATAATGCAGAGCTCTGAGCACATTCATATACAATTCTTCAAAATGAAAAGGCTTCAGCTATTGGGCACTGATGAGAAAATTTTATGACATATCCAATATAAAGAACCGACAGAATATAACAGAACACCTAGAGAGAATTCAAGAAAGCCCCATCTATATCCTAAATTCACTCCATATGCACTAATAAGTTTTTACAAAACTATGAAATAGATCCGCTAGTACCACAGACTAGTACAACTTAGCTTTCATTAGTTCCTTGCTGCAGCCTGGAGCTAAATTCCACATGTAATTTAGAGAAAGTCCAATGTGACTTAAAAGGTTTACTTTTTTATCTTCTTTACCCAAGTTGAGAAATAAATAGACCTTGAGCATAACTCAATCCCAAAAAGCTAGCTCATGAAAATCGCCCAAAACCAACATAGGACTTTGACACCCACCTACGGACTGGACAAATAGGAGAGTGGATAACATAACACAATGGATCGACAATGAGAAACACAACAGTAAGGATTGATGGGTTCGGCTCTGCTACCATGAAGAAATAGACTTTGGGTCTAACTCAACCCAAAATGCTTGCTCATGAGGGGAGGATTGTCAAGACCATATAAGGAACCCTAACTCATTCTCTCAACCAATGTGGGACTTAACACAAGTAATAAGTTTTATATATCAACTAAACAGGCACTAACCCTACTCTTATTTATGCAACATCGTTCTCTACAAAGTCATGTGGTCCTCAAAACACAATGGTATTTTATGTGTAACAAAAAAATACAGCAACAGTTTAGCATCTGGAACAAAATCTCTCTAAAAGACATGACAGTACTCAGTTACGTCCCTTTCGAATTTTGTGCACCATTGTGTTAGGATAGGCAATGACCTATCCTTCTCCTCCTACTTCCCCTGATTCTTCACTAGCACATCAGCTTAACAGAATTCAGAACAACAAGGTACAAGCTCATTCTGTCCATATTATGCAATAGATGAAATAGCTTTGATGTCACAAAATTCTGTTATGGCTTATAGCAGTCACTACGATTCTCTGTGTAGAGAAGTAAGGATTAAGTTGTTCATCAGTGCAATGTCATATTTTTGAAAAGGAACCTTCCAGATTATATAGATTCATGATCCAGTTGCAAATACACATGCAAGGAATGGAAACAGATTAAATGTAAAAAGATGAGTACACTCTTAGGCAATTTGAGTCAACAAACCATAAATTGCAGAAGTGCCACCCACCCCCCAAAGGCGGGAAAAAAAGAAGCAACCCCTTAAGGAAGGTAAGAAACTGTTTTTTCAGATAAGCAGTAGGTTTCTGTCACTAACCTCACATGAGAAAATAATGACTTTGCTATCACATTCAAGACAGATGCAAAGATAAGGATATTGATCTTAGATAGTAATTCTGAAGAAAGTCCCCTTAGCAATTCCAAGACCCTTGACTTTGCCTTAGCACTTGCCTCGTGATACCTGCGAAAGAGATCCAAACATTTTTTTACCAAAGAAAGTATTTCCTTGTAAGAATCACAAATTGGCCTCAATGTAAGCAAAGAACCTAGCTATTGCATCTTCCACCCTCATTGTAGTGAACCATTCTTCTCCAACCTTCTTCCCCTTTGAATCTAGAGCAGGTCTGAGATGCTTAATTTGTTCTTCTCCAGCGGTTCCAGCCCAAACAGTTGGTACAAATCGCTTTCCCTTAAACCATACAGCTCCATGCTCTCGAGCATACAAAATCTCCCCTTTAGTTCCTCCAAGTGGGGCCATCGTGGCCCTTATTCTTGAAATAATAGGCAGGAAATCTTCTGTTATCTAGAAACAGAATGGAAGACCACTTAAATATTTGGGAGATTGGTTGTTAAGTTCATTAATTTCAGATTTTTGTCTCTTTCTTCTTTATTTTTTTCTTTTTCGATTTGGCTGCCAGTCTTGGAACTGACGCATGGTTGCTTCTATAAAGTACAGATCGAACTTCTATAGTTCAAGATCTATTTGCCTGGAGCAATTATAACTACTTCTCCAAAAAAATTATTTTTATAGATCATTTGTTTCAGACTCAGAATTTCAATCTGGTTAGTCAACCAGCCAAAGCAGTATACATGACTATATAGAAAAAGCAATGTATATTTTAGCTATCAAGAAGAGTACTAAAGCACCAGATGCACAACTTGTAAATCATTAGAATTATTATTAGGGATGATAGGATAGGAATTATTATTTGGGATGATAAGAGACTCACAGCTAAAGATAAAGCATCCGCAGCCTTTTCTACTTCTGCATATGCGTCCTCCAAATGGATCCTCTTGACACGGCCTTTCCACAACAACTCCATATCTTCAAAGAAATCATTTGGGATGATAGGATAGGAACTAATCTTTTGATCACTTTCACCATGTACGGATATTATTTCACTGATTCTACAAGAAATCTTTCCACATTCATTTACCTGAAGTAACAAGGGGTTAAATTTAATCAGATCTACAATCAAAGAACCTTTTGCAAGAATTGGCGAAAACAAATCTAAGTCAAATTAGTCAATACATGAGCAGATACGAAGAGCACCTGGCGCATGGACCAAACTAAAAAAGGCGAAAACTAAAATCAGTATAAACCCTACAAGAGAGAAAGAATTACAGAAAAAACAAGAGGCATATGCATGTGCCTTACCACCAGGAAGCTAAATTATGATCAACAAAGTTTATAATTCTAGTACACTGAACGATTATTACACACCTCTAATTGTTGTTAGTCCATGCATAAGCTATAAAAGAGTATGTCCATCTAAAGAAGTATCACAATTTAGTATTTCCTCAACTCTTTTGATGATCTTCATGCCTAGACATTCTATCGAGTGATAGGGTTGGCATAAAAGGTTCTCGCCAGGTATAAAAAGTAGCCATGCTTTTACAATGTAAGAAGAAATTTTAAAACTTATACATGAATCATTCAATTAACAAGATACATTCTTGCTAGACGGTTAGAGTAGCTCCACACTGTCATCTTTGATCTCCAAGCCCATACAATGCAAAAGCATTTTCAAGAAAAGGAAAAAGGAAAAAAAAGATTTAAAAAAGAAAAAAGCTGAATGATTCCTGTCCACCTATCCTAAACTGGACTGCACGAGATAATTGCTCTTTATGCACCACTCAATATTAAACTGTACAGGAAGTCTTTGTAATTGGAAGTGGAATAAAAACCCCAACATCACTTACTAGTGTATCAAAATCAACTTTCAACCCAGTTGCCACCCAAGTAGGATCCATCAGTAACTCTACAATAGCACGAAGTTCTGAATTTCTATACAACTGCAGTATCTCTTCGACCATGCTCTTTATTTTGCAGAACTCTATGTGATTTGCCTCCCTCAACTCAAGCAGCTTGACCAGCTGTAAATAGATAACAAAAATCGCAACAGTAATGCTTACAAACTGAAGCACAGAAAGCTAAGAATTGTTTGGGAAGGGAAAGCAGCTTGAGGAAGAGAATTGTTCTTTTATATAACTGAAGTTTTCCTACCTAGCACAAGGTTTGAAACTCAAAACACATGACATAATACCAGAACCAATGATCTATAGAATGAATAGTAGACAGAAGTAGCAATGCTGCTAATCTGATGACAAGTTCAGAATAGTAGACAGAATTCATGGACTTAATATATCTCCCAAAAGTCGTGATTTATAGAAGAAATTCATAGCAATCATCTGTTTTATGATGTCTTCTTCTTCTTCTTTTATTGAAGTAAGGTGTTATCATTAAAAAGGCATAAGATGTATAAGGTGCAAAAATTTCAAGAGTGATGACTGTTAGCTCTGGTAGTACATAAAAATCTATGCTAGGATCAAAGAGTTAACAGTCATTACAAAAGAGTGATGACTGTTTTATGTCATTACAAGAGAGTGATGTTTCCTAGTCCAGAGATAAAAATTCGACAAGACAAATCAATCTTATCTGTATCACAAAGATGAACATACGACAGGAACCATGTGATGAGTTCAGACAAAATAATGTCGGTACACAAAAGGCCTCCGAAACTCCAACATTAAGCTCTAACTTGCTACCAATTCATTCACTTTTGAACTGGGAAAAGAGAGAATTAACCAGTCATTAAAATCTCAGCCTAAGAGTTTATACGCATCAGCAATAAAATGTAGGCACTTATTTCAGACAAGAAATAATACTAAAATAACATAACCCAACTTTACTAGTTAAGAAGAAAAAAATTGTTACAGCATATGAACAGAATAGATAAATTTTGCAGTGAGAATAAATTGAATAATGAAATGCAACCTTTGCAGATGAAATACAAGTAAAATCAGGAATTGAACATGTGACGCTCATCATAAGTCTGCATGCCTCTGCAAAAGCAAATGAAACATATTAGTAAAGAAAAATTCATTGTGTTTGTTATAAGCACTGAAGATAAGAAATAAGGAAGACATATTAGCCATATATGACACTTCAAGAAATTGCCTGGCACAAAAAAATCACTCGCCCCCCCCCACCCCCCCCACCCCTCACCCCCACCCCCTTCCTCATCGTGGCAAAAGAAAACAGAAGCAACTACGCCAATCCCATACTAACTGAGTCAGCTCTGTGAATCTTTCAACTCAGCTCAATGTGAAGAATTTCATTCCAATACTTAACAGCTTTGTCTTTTGCAGATAAGGATTTATCTGTTACTAGAGATTCCCTACACTTTCTCCTAACAAAGCTCTTGACACACTAAAAAGATGGCAAACAAGACCTAAAGTAAGTTTGCCAACGCGACATATCCCTAATTAACTAGTTGGGCATTGCCCAAATTAGGAAAAATTAGTCATTTTCTCAACATCTCGTTTTATCTCAAAGTCCACCAACCCCTTGTGCTTTAGGAGACCTCTAACTCAAATCAAATCTCAAAGCTTACAACTTGATCTTAACTTCACTAGCAAACTGTGACAGTGTGGAGCTTCTTATTGACATCAACTTTTATTTCCAAGCTAGTAGCAAAAGATATTTGTAAGTTAATAGAGAATAGAGAAAAAAACATGCTCCACATGTTTGCTTCAAATATAAATAACTAAATAAGAGAACAATTTCAGTAAAATATGATCTTCAATAACTTTTGTGCACATTAGGACAAACTTTTGTGTTCATTAAATTTTGTGCACTCCATAAGGCCCTAATTAGCATAAATGACTGGATCCTTTTGGGGAGAACCATGTTTTTATGTAGGTTCTCCACTTTCAGTAAACCACTTGGCCCACTTGTACACAGTGACTTTCCGCCTATAAAGGAAGTAATTCTTCATAACAAAAATGATTTTTCACAATCCCGAAACTTTACTAGATCTGAAGTTTGTTACAATTGTGCTATTTGCACAGGAAATCTGAAATAAAGAGAGAGACAGAGAGAAAGAGGAGATAGGGAGGCAAAAAATACTATAATTATTATGGATTCAACTCATGATAAGAATGACAAACAACATAAAGTTAATTACAACTCTCTTTACAGAAAATATATTTTTGAGATTTCTTTTTTTTTTTAGAATTTCTTTTTAGAGAATGTACTTGGAAAACCCCATAATCGAGGTCCACCTATGCAAGAGAAAAGAAGAACATTACTCTTTGAGTGAGTAAAGTAGGAACTATTGATCAAATGCCTAAATCATTTGAAGTGTTGCAATCATCTAGACCTAAACAATGTGTGAGAGAAAGGGTAGGATTGGGGCTGTAGAAAGATCAGTCCTAACGACCTACACTCGGAGCTTCCTGGTAGTTTGAAAAAGAGACGAGATGAGATGAAATGAAGGGGCAGTCTGAAGGCCATAGGTTAGAGGTGGAACAGAAGGCAGTGGTCATAGTCATTGCTTGGGTTGTAATATTTGCATAGTGTAAAGATATGGCACTTGGGCCTAACTCAACCCCAAAAGTTAGCTCATGAGGGGAGGTTTGTCCAAGTCTATATAAGGAGACCAATTTCCCATCCCTCTACCGATGTGGGACTTCTTAACACTCCCCGCACGCCCAAACCTCAACTGGAGCGTGAACACTTCTAAATGGGGGCCCAACATCGGTGAACAACAACTTGGAATGGGTCTAGCTCTGATACCATGTAAAGATATGGCACCTGGGCCTAACTCAACCCCAAAAGCTAGCTCATGAGGGGAGGTTTGTCCAAGTCCATATAAGGAGACCAATTTCCCATCCCTCTACCGATGTGGGACTTCTTAACACATAGGTTGTGGTAGTGGCAGGAAAGGGATGAAACAGATAGAAGGGGGTTCAAAATGAGTGGTAGGGAGCACGAAGGAGGCGTTAACAGAGAACAATAAGGAGAATATCTATGCAATGTCCATGAACCAGTTTTTGTTTGAACAAAATAACGAAAATATTTTTAAAAAGAAATATCTTATTAACCATATATATGTTAATAGAAATCTTAATAGGTGATATCGGCTCACCGAAGCCAAGTCTGTAAGCTCAATTTAATGCTCAGAAGTTAAATGAGCTGAACAGAAAGAAAGCACTTACTTGAGACAACCCAGCTTAAGCAGCAATCAAGCTGCCTTAGCTTGGATGCAACACAAAATGTGATGCCTCATAATTGGCTATCAATAGTCAAGAGGATGTGATTTATCAATTAAATCGTGGTGCAGAATTCTGTCAAGCAAACCACTGCCGGTAATGCAGTCAAGCGATCTCAGCTGATTGCAGCCCTAGATGTGATAGAGCTCGTAACAGGCCCATTAATAACCAGAAAGACCGAAATTTATCAATTGAATCATGGAGCAGATCTCCATCAAGAAGAGAAGCATCGTGTTACCAATTGAGTGCATTTGAAGGATTTAGACAGCCAGTAGAAATCCAATACAAAGATGCATTTGAAGGATTTAGACAGCCAGTAGAAATCCAATACAAAGATGCATTTGAAGGATTTAGACAGCCAGTAGAAATCTAATACAAAGATAAAAGGACGAAGACAAGTCAAAGAGCCTGCAATGTTTCCCTACTAGCACTCATGTGGGTCCTGTTGAAGGAAAGAAATACGAAAGCTTTCCAGGGGATAGAGAATAACAACACACACTTAAGGAACACTTTCACTCTTAGTTATCTTTTGGTACACACATGAGGTTTCAGTTCGTACAGAAGATTGGGCGTCGTTCATAGAAATTCATATTTTGATGTAAATCTCTACTTTTGGGTATACCTTTTTTTTCTACCCCTCCCTTGGAGCTCCCACCTTTTTGCTCCGTTGGTGACTTGAACTCACAACCTTAGGGCTGGAAGTGAAGGGTGCTTACCATCCGAGCAACTCCCTCTTGTCTACTTTTGGGATACTACTTGTATACATTGTCTCATTAATAAAATTTACCTTACTGAAAATAAAAGGAAGAAACCAAATAATGAAACTTCACTCACTATGATGCGACAAAAACAAGAAAGTTAAAGCTGTCAATATGATCTTAAAATTGATCAAATCTATGATGTAGTTAGTAAAATGATTGTCATCATGAACAAGTGAGGGATGCATGAACATCTACAATATATTTCTCACCTTGTATGTCTGAAGAAATCTCATAGGCTGGTGGATTTAAAAGAAGATCCCTAATATACCTGATAGAGATAATATCACGGACACAACAAATACCAGAACAACATCAAATGTAAAAATAAGAAAAAAAATTTATACAAGATAGACAAATAGATAAATGTTATAAAGAAATAAGTGAACTATCATGAAGATTATATAATCACTTCAAAGTAGCATTGAAACAAAATTCAGTATTCAGAAGAAGGTCATAACTGCTGAAAGAAGAGGAAGTTATCCACCAGAAAACTTTTTTCTAAGAAAATACTAAATGGGAAATACAGCGAAAGGCCTGTGCGCATACTACCCTCCCCAGACGGCCAGACCCCACTTGTGGGATTTCACTAGGTATGTTGTTGTTGGGAAATACAGTGATATAATAAGACCTGAGTGAAATTAGCCACATGTCTTAAATTAAGCTACAAAATCAGAAGGAATACCCCATTTTCGTCTGTGCTTCTTAGGGGTTACAGCTCTTTTATAGCTTGGACAAAATCTACTTAACCGACACAGTGTTTATCTAATGACCACATGATTTGGGGGTGTAACAAATACAAGAATTAATTCTGTTCCTTTGAAGTATTTCCATAACCACATTACGAATAGAAAAAGTCTTTTGGAACAATTCAAAATTTAAAATAAAGTACACTATCCCATACCAACATGTGCAGACTATATAATCGGCTTATGTCGAAGGAGTAAGCTACTAGTCAGGTGTTTAGTAAGTAACTTCAAAAGTTTGTCAATGGATAGGAGTGACTTGTCACTATTACCATGGATGGGAGCAAGGAGAAAGAGTTACAAGTGTGGGAACAGAGGCTATGCAAACTAGGCAAAGAGTTGTGTGGTATGACACAAAGTGATCTCCAGAATAAATCGGAGATCACATCCATGTAAAAACTTAATGATAACCATTACTTTATGGCAAATTAAACAAACAAAAAAAGATTCCACAAAAAAACAGAAAGGAATATTATGTCTTTTTCTTCTCTAACTAAAACACCCAGACCACAGATTAATTCATTGAACCCCATGTATTCTTCTCCTCCTCAATCTTAATGGTCACCTCTCACTCTCTCACCCCCACCCCCACCCCCCCGAAGTCACCTGTTGAGCTAAATCATGAAAATAATAGAACCTGTAAATTTTCAGAGACCGTGAATTGCCTATACGTGTGGACCTCTATACAACATTAAGACAGGTTCCAGCTCGGGTACACAAATATGAGTTCTTAAGGAGCTACAGGTTCTCAATATCTGGAAAACAAATACAGTCAATTGTATAATGCTGCTGTAAAGAACAGTGATCCCACATCTTTTGATAATTCTGTGGCTAAGACAAGGATTATTGAAATGGCAGCTAGGTGGAGCAAAAACTATAGCAGCACAGGTACAAAACAATTACTGCTGGTTTACGGGAGCTGGGGTTCTAGAAAGAAACAGAGAGAACTCCATGCAGTAAGGGCAGACAATTGTTTGCAGTAAAACAATGCTCACTTACAGGACTGGTAGACCACTGCAATGTGGAGGAAGCAACACCTTTAACAAACATGGAATCCCTTCGGTTGGAATAGCACCTAAAGGTAACAAACCCCGGAAACAGATGTTTCAGCCTAGGGTGACACCACCACATAATGACAGAATGTAACTGAATTAAACTAAGTATAATCATTACCAATTTGTGTGGCAGTTCCAAGGTGTAAAGGACGGGGCCTATTTTCTGAAACAACAGTGACATTTCTGAATGGAATGTCATCATCGAGACCATAAAGCTCTTTTACCTGAAATTTTCATTACTTTGCATGTAACTGAAGTAATGAGGGTCACAAGCAATGAAACGATGTGAAGCCAAACCTTGAATAAAAGCTCATCGATAGGATTGCCATCCAACCATTCCTGCTGTCTAGCATTACATTCTCCCCACAAAAGTCCACCTTCACCAAACTCTCCCCAACGCGATGTTCCTGTGAGGAGACCCTCCAGCTAAATGAAGGATTGAATAACATATACATATATAAATAGAGTAAATTCAGAACAGATGTGTTGCCTTCTAATCTAAAGTTACATGCAACAGCCTAAACATCATTGTAGACTCAAAAACAAAATATTAGATCAAATAAACATACCAACCCCCCCTCCTTCCCACTTTTTTTGGAACTGGATAGAAAAACAAATTGGTTGAATCAATGGAAGACCTAAAAGTAACAACAGAAGTTGAACATGTTCGGGAAGTGTCCACAACAAACTCTTCAAGGTTTTGTTCGACCAGTCATATCCTATGTGGTTTTCAACATTTATGTGAAGGCTAATTCACATCTAAACTCGCCTTGCTTCCTTGATTAAATATGAAGAACCAAATTGTTAACAACTTAACAACCACCCGGAATGCCAAAATTACAGAAAGATGTTAAAGTAGTTTTATCCTATGGGAAAATTCTACAAAATTTCCTCTTCTTTTATCAGAAAAGAGATAAGGAGAATTCCCCATACTATAAAACTGCTTCTCATTGGAGTGAATTTCCCCTGAAACCATTCTCCAATGCAAGAAACATACATGAAATGACAAATGAGATTTTCATGCTTTCAACTTATCCATGGTGCAAGGTAATGAGCTAATGTGGTCCTTCATGCAAGTTATCTCTTATCAAACTCTCCATTTTACCTATTTCTCTAGCTCATACCCCTTCCCCTCCCCCCCCCCCCCCTCCCATCCTACTAATCAATTTCAAACTAAAGGTTATTGTGAATGTTTTAGGATGGTAACATGTATGTATATTGATATAAAATTGACACCACTCAAAACTGGGAGTCACCCTTACTTACAAAAGTGAGCGCATTGATAGTACTCCTCTTCCTTTGTCATTTAATCTCACAAGGAATCTATAAGACAACAAAAATACAAACCTGATCTTCTAAATACATCTTTTTTGTCACGACTTGGACTTCTACTAAGCACACCATGCGTCACTTGACAACTCGCTCTTTTGCTTTTACGTCTCATGGCGGAAGTGCTAGAGCCATACAATGAATCTTTCAAGATCTTGCAAGCTCAAGTAAGCTTTTTTGACACTAGATCGCTAAGGAATGTTGGATTTAGGAAAGACATAAGAGAATTGCTAGAGAAGGTTTTGTATTGCTCAAGACTTAGAAGATTTGTTTGATTCTTGCTTGATTGTGTTACAAATGAGTGTCTCTCTATTTATACTACACACCTAAGGGCTAAGATGCAAATAAAAATTGCAAGTCTCTACATATTTACAAATAAGTGCTATTTCTAGAATACTCTACACAACTAGAAGATTCAAAGGACTTTCCATGCAAATCCATGGAATCCTAAGGCCTTCCAAGGGATTTCTCCAAGTCTCTAGAACCTTCCAGTATGGACTAGCTTTCTTCCTATGTAAGGCTTCCAAATGGATAACTTTATGCCACGTGGCACCTACGTGGTATTATAACATTGCGGGTCATCACACTTTACACCAAAAGTAAAAAAAGAGCTAGACATTTTGAATCCCTGGTAACTCACCTGCCAAAGCTTGTTTTTGATCCTATAGATCGTGGAACTTAGACCTCAGATGCATACTTATATTGCTTGAAACTTGTAAGACACCCAAGTAGCCTCATGGTAATAGCTTCATCGCCCAAGTCTAAGGAGGACTTGGTAAGAGAAAGGAACAAAATGTAGAGCTTCCTACGAGAACATTTGCTTATTGTCTTATTCGATTAAAAAAAAGTAAAAGATTAGTACACATCGGATAGGGGTTGGGTCGGATTGGTTTTTTTAATTGAATTTGTATTTATTATATTTAAAAAGTACATTAAAAGATCACCCATCAGAAGATGGATTTTCCAGCAAATGATTTTTGTGTTACTAAGGGCAAAATTTGTGATTTTTGTGTTAAAAAATATAGTTAACTGACTTTAGTGAAAAAGACTCATATTTATATGACCATCTATGAACTTACCCATTTAGTTCCTCAATTAGAATAAATTGGAGTTCGAGTATCTAAATGAATTTCGCTGAGAACTTTTGAGGGGCCATAGATATATATTAAACTAGCAGATAATAATAATTAAGTAGTGTTACCTTCTCAAAAAAAGGATAATAATAATTAAGTTCCTTCCATTTCTTCCGCCTCTTGAAAATTGGTAGCTTAATTAATATTCATGAAATTAGTTAATCAAGTGTTACCTTCTCAAAAAAAGGATAATAATAATTAAGTTCCTTCCATTTTTTCCATAGGTAATCAAGTGTTACCTTCTCAAAAAAAGGATAATAATAATTAAGTTCTTTCCATTTCTTCCATATCTTGAAAATTGGTAGCTTAATTAATAACTCATATGAAATAAGGTAATCAAAACCTCTATAAATACCCAAGTGCTTAACATTTTATTTTCATCACATTTTACATATAGTTGAGCATCACCTCATTAGGTTAGTTTAATTATTTATATTTCTTCACATTATTTGTTCCTATAAAAATCGAATCTCTCTGTAACTACTTCATTTATGTGGATTTTTTTCAGTTGTTATAGAGAGGTGTAACAACTACATATTTTTCTGTTTTTCCTAGTGATTAATTAACTGTGGAAATGCCCTTGCCTATCCTATATATATATAACACAGTCAAACATCTCGATATCTGCATCATCTATAATTAATTGTTGTTTTATAGAGATAAGTGTTATAGAGAGGTTTGACTTTAATAACTAATTATTTTCCCTTTTTTTTAACAATTATTTAACAGCAGAAATGGCTTTGAACTCTGGTGATGGTGGTGATCGGATGCGCGAGATCTGCACGGAGCTGGAGGACGTACGCCACCACATAAGAGGGCTGGAGTTGCAGATGCGAGATGCTAGATCAGCACGCAACGTTGGAGAGTTTATTAGCCTGCTAGATAGGCGTGCTACTTATCTGGAAAGAGAAGCTGAGCTTGAAAAGGAACTCAAGACTAAATTTAACTTTTTTTACCGTAGGTTTCTGTAGTTGATTTTTATTTTCTTCCCTATATGTAGGAAGATTATAGGAATTGTTATAATAATTGAATGTTGGGAGAAAAACTGAAAAAGTTAATAAAGACAAGAGAATTTAATTTTCTTTGGATTTGAAAACCTACACCTAAATGATGTGTTTGCTTTAATGTATATGTATGTTTTCCGCTTTCTTTATTAATTGTCTTCACAAGGTAGGGTAAGATTTGCGTACACACCAATTTCCATATGATCACGTAACTACCACTTTTTTCACAAAAATCACTTAACTACCATTTCTAACACAAAAATAACTGAACTTTTGGGTATACAAACACAAAAATCATACAACCTGAAAATACTTACTTCCCGGTGGATAACTCATTTTTTTTAAAAAATAATTGATAAATAACAATTCAATTAAAAAGCATTGACCTAACTCAACCCAAAACACATATGAAGAAAGTAAAATATTAAAAGAACAGAATAGAAGTACAAAACGTTCAGCGATCTCCACAACTACTAGTCCTTCTCACCCCCAACTAATATTTGCATTGATCTTGTTTATATATTTCAAAGAAAGAGATGGATAAAAAGTGTTAAAGAAATGACAGAAAATGGATAAAGTTGCCTAGAACATAGTGTCATGGAATCTCTGCCATATCAATTCAAGGCATAATCAACTAAAAAAAATATTTATGCTAGTCCATTTTCTATCAGAGTTGCTTTCTTTATTAATATATTTTAGGAAAAATCACTACAACATGAAAACATGATAGCATAAACTACAAATATCATTACATCAATAATAAAAAACATGATCTATAGAACAAATACTTTTAAGGCAACAAAAATGAAATTTAACACCCAGGGCATATGCTTTTACGCCCGCGACTTACAACTCAAATTCTGGGCACAGCCCTATGGATCTACACCTTTCATTTTCACCCCGGAGTGTTTTTGGTACACCCCACCTTAGGACTTCCCCCAAAATCACCTTTGAAAACACTGGTAGCAGGTTGCTCCATTTTACTAGGTGGATCTTCTTTTATCACTATTGCCTTCCCAAAGAAAGTTTCTTCCTAGAGCATCAATCTTGTTGACCACAATTACAGGATTAGGAACAAGGACAACATGTAAGTGGACATAACCTCTAGGACAACATTAATGAGCACCAAGCTGCCTCCCAATGACTTGTACTGGCTCTTCCAATTGGAGAGTTTCTTCTCACACTTCTCCATTACTCCATTACTCCATTCCATATCTTCTTGGGGTTACGTTTTGCCCAAAGGGCATTCCCAAGTAAACAGCGGGTAATTCTCCATTTCTCCCCCCAGTATGTGAGCTTGTTCTAGCTAATTCTTGTAGATCTGGGACCATTCACTAGGTAAACAAGACTTTTATTCCAGTTGAGTTGATATTTTGTCCAGAAACAGATTCAAGGAGTACAAAAATTACTCTCAATAGCTTTTGTAGGTCTCTATCTGGACCACAGAAAATCAGAGTGTCATCAACATATTTTAGGTGAGATATTTTCACGCAACAGTCGCCCATTGATTAACCTTGAAGCCCCTAATCCAGTTGTTTTTCTGTGCCCTCTATATCATATCATCAGACCCTACATACATTGCTACAATAAAATAAATGGGGACAGTGGATCCCCCTGCCTAATTCCTCTCTGGGAAGGAAAGAACCCTGTTGAATTGCTTTTAACAAAACAGAAAATCTGGCTATACTAATGCAATATTTGATCCGCCTAATCCACCTCTCTCCAAAACTCATTTCTTCACTGAATCCAGCAGATAGTTCCAGATTATATGATCATAAATAAGCCTTTTCAATGTCTAGCTTGCATAGGATGCCAGGGGTCTTGTTTCTGCCTTGTGTCTACACATTGATTAGCAATTAGTGTTGCATCCATCATTGTAATCCTTTTATACGGTCATTTGTTGTGCATCTACCAACCTTGCCACCACTTTCTTTAGCCTCT